TATGTTTGTATTCATTTTCTAAAAACTCTAAGGCTCCGGTTGTTTCATTAACTTTAGAGGATTAAAAGGCACTGAATTTTGTTCACAGACTACACATTTATAAAATATTCATGTGAGAAACCTATACAGAAATAGAACACAGAGGTATCAGAGGCCTTATTTTCTTCAACACTTTTTAAAAATATATTTTTATTGATTTCAGAGAGGAAAGGAAAGGGAGAGAGCGAGAGCGGGAGAGTGAGAGAGAGAGAAATAGAAACATCAATGATGAGAGAAAATCATTGATGGGCTGCCTCCTGCACACCCCTCACTGGGGACGGAGCCTGAAACCTAGGCATGTGCCCTTGACTTGAATCAAACCCTGGACCTCCAGTCCACAGGCCAACACTCTATCAATTAAGCCAAATCAATCAGGACCGTCACTTTTAATATATGTAGAAGTTAAAAAGCAATTACTCTCAGGCAAATTTTCATCTTTAAGAGATACTTGTGGGAAAGCCTGCAATAATACAGGCTATTGCATTTCCCTGTCAGCCTGTTTGCTGGGAGATTCTAAACTGTAGTCAGATTTAATTTCTATCCAAATGTTCAAGATTAACTGTTTATTCACATAACTTATTTTGGATAGTGATAATGGCTGAGAAAATGGAGGGTGATGGAAAAACATGCAAATAAAATTATTGGAGTCCCAACTCTGGAGGCTTAATTTAAGCAATCTAACTGCTAGCCCAAGAATGGCTAGAATAAGAGTTCCATCATGCCTGACTTCTATCAAGAAAGGAACCCATATCCAGGAATACTATGGAGATTGCTACCATGATCTCAAGGACTGTGGTTATGAATTTGAAGTTAACAAACATACATATTCTCTCACTAACTTAAGCCATATCTGTCATCTCTATGTTTGATTTTTTTTTTTTTTCTTATCCTGGTGCTTTTATCTCTGTTTCTGCCAAACTTCAGCCTACTCTATGGGGAAGGTGAGTAAAACTGTAGTTAAGACAAACGTGAAGACTGTGAAAAAACTAAACATCCTCTTCAGAGTGAGATCCTAGTCAGAGAACAGTAATGTTCAAAGTGCAAACTGTTAGAAAATATAGATATATGTACATCTGTACATGTATATAGTGTATAGTATATATGTATATGTTATTGCTCATATGCAGAAATCTATCCATTTGAAGACAGCCCAGGTGGGTCAGTTTTTCTATTGGAAAACAACTGAGGACCATTCAAAATCATTAGGGCTGGTGGGTAGAGTTAGATTCTACTCAATTAGGAATTATTCGCAGTGTTGAATTCTACAAAACCAAATCAACAAAGCCTGAAGCATCATAGGGCCATTGTTTAGGATAGTATGCTTATTTAGAGTCAGAAGTACCTTTATATTTGAATTATTAACAGTTGGTTAACTGCACTGGTACCTCTTGGTTTTGAGTGACTCCCGCCCCACCAAGTCTTTTGAGAATTTGGGGTAGCTTCTCTGGCTATTCAGATAAAGGGCCTTCTCCATAAGTGGACAGGTTTCCCCATAAGGACCATTACACATATACATATAAGTTCATACTTTCATCAGGCTTGTTAATAATTGGTTTAAAAATCACTCCACAGTATTGATAAATAGCTCTATATTTTCAAGGTGCAGAAGAATTCCACAGCCTTAATTATTTCAGTGTCTTGCTGGTCTGCCTTAAGTGTATCTTCTGGGTTTTAGTTGTCTTATTATTTTTTTTTAATTTTCTGCAGTTATTCATTTTGTATGCACACAACGTCGTTTTGTAAATGTAAGTTGTAAATATTTTATTTGTAAGTCAAATTCACTCGTGTAATGTTGTAAAGTGATGACCTGCTGTCTTGTCATTACTATAGTAAATGTTATAAGTTATGGATTGAAACTTCAAAATGTACATCTCACAAGTTATCATGCCTATAAATATACTATACTAAAGATGATTATTTCTGGTGGCCTTTTTGTTTTCTAATTAAAACCTTTGTTCAAAAAAGTAATTTTCTTTCCCCAAATATATGAAAGCCTCTGACAAGGTAAAAATATTACAACACTTTTGTCCAGGATTTTGGAAAGAAAGTAACAATTTTGTAGCCTAGAGAAGTATTCTAGGCATTTTTAAATTTTTATATATATTTAAATATATTTTTGTTGATTTCAGAGAGTAAGGGAGAGGGAGAGAAATAGAAACATCAATGAGAGAATCACTGATCAGCTGCCTTCTGCATGGCCCCTACTGGGGATGGAGCCCACATGTGCCCTTGACCTGAATCAAACCTGGAACCTTTCAGTCTGCAGGCCAACTCTCTATCCACTGAGCCAAACTGGTCATTTTTTTATTTTTAAAAATGCTGAATAAGCCTCAGGTGTGAATTGCTAACTGCATTCTAGTAGTGTTTCATGTTGCAACTTTGACAGGCTGTTTGGGTGGATCTCACAAGTTTATGAATCATACATAGTATGAATTCGAGGAATCTGGATTAGCCTATATAAATATGATCAGGCTTTGAAAGACTGCGTGTGCCACCCAAGTGTCAATTAGCTAGAGTGTTCAAATTGATTGGCTTATTTTGCCAATAAAAACAAAAGGTTTTCCAGTGGTCAGCAAACTGCGATTAGTAAGCCACAAGCGGCTCCTTGGCCTCTTGAGTGTGGCTCTTCCACAAAATACCAAGTGCGGGCTTGCAAGTTCAGTGTGATTGAAACTTCGTCACAGAACTTGGTTTTCAGCTCTCAAAAGAAATTTCAATCGTTGAACTGTTGATATTTGGCTATGTTGACTAATGAGTTTGCTGACCACTGGCTTAGTGTATAGAGTGTCGGCCTGTGGACTCAAGTGTCCCGGATTCAGTTCCAGTTCAGGGTATATGCCTAGGTTGCAGGTTTGGTCCCCAGTAGGGAGAGGTGCAGGATGCAGCCAAGCAATGATTATCTCTCTCTTCCTTTCCTTTCCTCTCTGAAATCAATAAAAATATATTTTTAAATGTTTTAATATTTGGCTTCTATTTCACCAAGATTTACCATTTATTTAAAATGAGAAACAACCGTCAGTGCACAGGCTCTTCATACTGGTTGGTCAGCACAATTTCTTCAGAGGAAACCTAGATATACATAAATAATATTGAAATGAAATAGAGATCACTTTGATGGGCAACCATCATTAGCCCTATGGCTTTCTGGGTTGTGTTCCTTAAAGTATTGCCTTCTACACATAATGATCATTTCCTCATCTTTAAGAGATTTATTTGTAAAGACCAAACACGCTTGGAATTTCAGATTGGCAGGCCAGATTACCCTCCTGGATAACCTTGATCCTAATCCATTCATCCTCTACTCTCCTCCCTCTCATCAGCTGTACATGTGCTACATGCCCAGCACCTGAACTACTCCAAGGGGAATATACATACTCCTCCAGAACACAGAGCCCACAGAGAAGGTAATGAACCTGCTGAGAGCTGTATAATCCCAGATGCAAATCGCTGACATTGTCACGTGATGGATACTGGGACGTTAATAGAAAAATGGAGAAAAAGTCCTGGTCTTCAAGATCTCGCACTGCATTTGGTGAAACCACGTGGGGGGGCGTGGCTAGTAACAAGCAAATAAAGACTTGCTTGGCTAAGTAGTGGAACTAATTAAGAAGACTCTGAGCTTTAAAAAGTGCCGAAACTGGTTTGGCTCAGTGGACAGAGTGTTGGCCTGCGGACTCAAGGGTCCCAGGTTAGATTCAGGTCAAGGGCATGTACCTTGGTTGTGGGCAGCTGGTCGATGCTTCTCTCTCATGGATGTTTCTAGCTCTCTGTCCCTCTCCCTTCCTCTCTGTGGAAAATCAATAATATATATATGTACATTAAAATAATAATAAAATAAATAAAAAATAAAAAGTGGACAGGTTTTATATACAGTCTCCACCTTTAAATTCCATCGACCCTATGCAGAGGCAGCCAACATCAACATAAATCTCAGCAAGGTGCACGCACTACCGCCACGTGACCCTAGTCACCTAGGACCCAGCAGAGCTCGCAGGGAGCCAGCCGGCCACCGGAAAAGGGGCGGAAGGGGCGGGGCCTGTAGAGTGACGTCACCAGAGCCCCGCAGTTCCGGCGCAGTACGCACGGCGTTTGGCGCGAACGTGGCCGCCTGCACCATGGCGGGCGCCGATGCAGCTTTGGGGTCGTTGGTAAAGGGTCTGTACGACGTGCAGGCTTTCAAGTTCGGGAATTTCGTGCTGAAGAGCGGGCTCTCTTCCCCCGTCTACGTAGATCTGCGGGGCATCGTGTCTCGACCGCGGCTTCTGAGTCAGGTGTCAGCCCGGAAAAGGGAAGAGCCGGGCGGGTGGCGGAGAAGGCGATCAGGAGATGGGAGGGAGGCGACTGCCAGAGGGAGCTAAGCCGGAGGGTCGACCCTGCTGTCAGCCTGGGGAGTCCGTTTGAGAAGCCCGGAGGCCAGGAGCTGTTCGTTTTTTGGGGGGACCCCGAGAGCAGCCTGCTGTTTTACCCACCAACCTTGACACGTGGTTTGCGAGAGTCGGGACTCGAGTTTGGGACCCTGTCTCGCCTAGATGTGGTGGAAGGACTTCTGTGTCTCTAACCTCGAGAAAGTTAGGTGTGGGGAGAAGTGAGGAGCTGTTCAAATACTTGGAAGGGCTGTTGCTTGGAAGGAGGTTCCGTTTTGCACTGTGACCAGGAGCAGGAATTAACGCCTGAGGGAGGAACATTTCCTGGAGGGTTTCTTGTTATTGTTTTTTTGTTTGTTTGTTTGTTTGTTTGTTTTTTGGTCAATATAAGGGAAAATTTCTACAAATTAGACATTACTAGCAGAGTGCTTCTCAAACTTTGAATATATTGAATCACCTGGGGATTTTGTTAAATGTTGTAATATGGTTGAGTAGATCTGAAGCAGGGCCTGCTGAGGTAACGCCCTTCTAACAAACTGCCAGCCAAAGCTGCAGACCACACTCGGAGCAGAAGGGCCCAAATGTGCTGTTCAGTACAGTTGCTACTAGCCACATGTGAATATTGAGCAGTATGAATTTTTTTAGGTTTAAATAGTCACATGTTGCTAGTGACTATCATTGGACAGTGCAGATATAGAATATTCCCATCATTATAGAAGTTCTCTCTAGAAGACATGTTTCAGCTGTCACTTAAGGATGTTTATGTTCACCCTTTGTGTGCTTATTATGAAAAGGATCGGAGCACTAGTTAAAATGGGTTGGAAACCACACAGAATCTTGCTGTGGTGCATTTCAGCAGTGCTGCTGAACAAAGTGAATGACTTGAGATTCTTCTAATGAAAAATTGATGTATTTTTTTTAACAAGTCATCCGTTGATAAGTGACTAAAAATTATTATTTTTTGAAACTAGGTCTTGGTGTGGGTGTGATTTTTGGTAATTAATTTGGAAGGAGTTCAAAACATTGAGAGACCTCGGTATAATAGAACTTCTTTCACGTCTACTTTTATATGAATAGGGTTTCTCATTATTTTTATTCAAAAAAAGCTGTAGAATTTACTAACTCTTACTTCCTAGTAGTAAGTACTATTGAACTACAGTAGATGCATAAACTAATGCAAGGAGGAAAAGTGCTGCATTTCTAAAATAATCAGTTTTTTATGCTATCAAAATATGAAAATTATGTTTTCATTAATTTGATGCTCATAACAATTGTAAATGGTAATTCAACACAGAAGAATTTTTAATGCTTAGAGACAAAATCGCAGGAAATGTTTTTTAATTTACAATTTTAAATTTCAATTTGTATATTTTTGTTGTGAAGAACTAGTATGGAAATGATCAATTGAAGTTTTTCAGACATAAATATATATTGTATTAGAATAAAATTTTTTGGAAATATAAGTTCCCCCAAAATGTAGGCTTTTCCAGCTATCATAACCTAGCATTTTTTTTCTTATTTTTATTTTTTTTGTATGGAGATATTGAGTATCAAATCACTATAGCATTTGGATCCCATCATATTCACTTAAAAGAGTGATGTAGCAGTTCTACATAATATGTTAATGTTTTTGTACTCTAGAAATTACATCTTGCCGAAGCCGGTTTGGCTCAGTGGTAGAGCGTCGGTCTGTGGACTGAAAGGTCCCAGGTTTGATTCTGGTCAAGGGCATGTACATTGATTGTGGGCACATCCCCAGTAGGGGGTGTGCAAGAGGCAGCTGGTCAATGTTTCTCTCTCATCGACGTTTCTAGCTCTCCATCTCTCTCCCTTCCTCTCTGTTAAAAAAATCAATAAAATATATTAAAAAAATAGAAATTACATCTTTTGCAATGTAAAAATATTCATAGATTTTTATTTTCATCTGAGCAAAAAATTTTGAAGACATGATCAGTAAGCAACTCTGCTTGTTTGCTTCTCTTTTAAATAAGGTGGTGTTCAGTAGGAGTATGCATTCTAGCATTAATATGTGATGATTTATGTAGAAAGCGTATTATATATATAAAATAATAGGTTCTATATTATGAAACTTCATTCTTTTACATTTTTGTATATTCATTGGTTTTTTTGAGGTATAATTGACATATAAAATTAATTTCAGGTGTACAACATAATGATTTAATAATTGTATATATTGCAAAGTGATCACTGCAATAAGGCTAGTTAATATCCATCACCATACATATTTAAATATTTTTTCTGGTGATAACTTTTATTGTCTGCCCTTTTAGCAACTTTCAGATATGCAATTACAGTATTAATAACTATAGTCACCTTGCTGCACGTACAGCCACATGACATTTATTTTATAACTGCAAGTTTGTACCTTTTAGCCACCTTCACCCATTTCATTCATCACACCGATCCCCAACCCCCACCTCTGGAAACCACCAATCTCTTCTCTATATCTATGAATTTGGCCTTTTTTTCTTTTTTGTTTCTTTGTTTTAGACTCCACTTATAAGTGAAATTATATAGTATTTGTCTTTCTCTGTCTGACTTGTGTCTTTATCCATTTGTCTATTGATGGATGTCTAGGTTACTTCCATATCATGGCTATTGTATCCTTGGGGTATCAGGACAATGCTCTAACCAGCTGAGCTACCAGGCCAAGGACCCTGCTCTGCCACATTGACTTTGCCCCTTGCCATTGGAATTTTGATAGTGGTTGCATTGAATATGTAGGTTGTTTTTATAGTGTGGACATTCTAGCAATTTTAGTTCTTCCAATCTGTGAGCACAGAATATCTTTTCATTTATTTGTGTCTTCAATTGCTTTCATCATCATCTTATAGGTTTCAGTATTCAGGTCTTTGACCTTGTTGGTTAAATTTAAATGGGATTGTTTTCTTAATTTTCGTTGTGAAACTACATAACTGAAGACTTCTTTCAGGAAGAAAATATAACTATTGTAGTAGGTAATAAATAGGTTTAAATACTGAAAGCATAATGGATTACCAAAGGAAACTGGGAACCCTAGAGGCCATCTTTAGTCCTTGGGGTCAACATCATAGCCTTCCCTTATACATCCTATATTGTCCTCAGAGCAGACCCTGAGTTTAGATGAGTAGACTTGTGTTTTTTATTTGTAAATGGGTTTATGCAGAGGTGATTTAACAAAAAGGCATTTGTAGTTTTCTAATCAGGTTTGAGACTATTTCCTACTGTCTTTAAGGTTATGCTACCTTATTTGTACACTGTTTAAAATATAATAGAACAGTAATAGTTTATGTGTTCTGTTTTGTTTTGTTTTTATAGGTCGCAGAACTTTTATTCCAAACTGCCCAAAATGCAGGGATCAATTTTGATACTGTCTGTGGAGTACCTTATACAGCTTTACCATTGGCTACAGTTATCTGTTCAACTAACCAAATTCCAATGCTCATTAGAAGAAAAGAAACAAAAGATTACGGTAACCTCGTACTGCAAGAATTTTTTTTTTCTTCTAGGCATAGTTGTTTTACCAGCCACCTTGAATGTTCTTAGTAGGTCCTTTAAATTGTTATGGCAACTGTTGCTATATATCACCTTCTTTTCCTTTAGAATCTAGAGGTGAAAAGGCAATGAAAAATAGTGTGTTTTTTTTGCACTATATCTGTGAAACCCAACTTTTTAAAAATATATATATTTTTTACAGAGAGGAAGAGAGAGGGATAGAAAGTTAGAAACATTGATGAAAGAGAATCATCGATCAGCTGCCTCTTGCACACCCCCTACTGGGGATGTGCCTGCAACCAAGGTACATGCCCTTGATTGGAATCGAACCTGGGACCTTTCAGTCCGCAGGCCAACGCTCTATCCACAGAGCCAAACAGAACTAGGGGCCCAGTGCATGAATCGCCCCCAACTGCCCTCCACTGCCAGCTTGGTCACCCCAACTTCCCTCCTCTGATGACAGGGGAGGGCAGTTGTCTGCTTAAAAAATAGTAAGCCAACTGTCTGCTTAAAAAATAGTAAGAATATATGCTGCTTGAAGGCACAGTATTTATCTGTATGAATCTCTGCCCACAAGGAAACTATTATTTCTATTTCCTTACGATTTGTCTTCAAAAATATTTCTTGGCATAAGGTTGTTTATTTTTAAATATGCCTGTAAATACTCACAGTCTTACGTTCTACTCCAAATTGACTCAGTGAAACTTGCCAATCCTTCAGTAGGGAGGAAGGGAATGGGAAAGGGCAATGATGGTACCTGTGGTAAAGCTCAGAAAGTAGGCAAAATGGTCACCAATTCTATTTCTGTTTCAAAATTTGACAAATTTGGTAGTGGGAAACAGAAAAATGAGTCTATTAAAGTCTATAGCCTGAATTACATTTTGTAGGTTATTGAAAATAATCTATCTTGGAGTTGGAATGGGAAAGTATATTTAGTCACATTGCATTATCCTATATAATAAAAACCTACTATTCTGTGTCCAGTTGTCCATTCAACCAATCAAAGCATAATATGCTAATGATATGCTAAGGCCGCTTAACCACTCGCTATGATATGCACTGACCTCCAGGGGGCAGACACTCTGACTGATGGGTTAGCTTGCTGCTGGGGTCTGGCTGATTGAGACTGAGTGAGACAGGTTGGCCGGACATGCCCTGGAGCCCTCCATGGTCCCTCCCCAGCTGGCCAATCTCCCGCTTCCCTCCCTGGCCCCGATTGTGCACTGGTGGGGTCCCCCAGCCTGGCCTGCTCCCTCCTGCAATGTAGGACCCCTCGGGGGATGTAAGAGAGACAGTTTTGGCCTGATCCTGCAGGCCGAGGGACCCCACTGGTACACAAATTTATGCACCAGGCCTCTAGTATAATTTATAAAGTTGTAATAATTGGTCTAAATCAGTGTTTCCCAAAGTATGGTACATGTACCCCCAGGGGTAAGGGAAGAGTTTAGTGGGGGTATGCGTTGCACCAGAGTTTGGTGGGGATATGCATTGCACCGTGCTTAGCTGCATCTAATTCTACGTTCTCATGAGTACGATGGGTACTCAGCATTATGAAAATTATAGAAGGAGTACACATATGTCAAAAGTTTGGGAAACACTGCTCTAAATGATTGCTGAGTATTTTCTCTCCTGAATCTATATATGCAAAGGCCAATTTTCTGGCTGATCTTGAGTAATGAAATGGTTTATTGATGGAAAAAGAAATGATTTCATTGAGGGTATTGTGTTATTCTTTGTTTCATTGCTTTCCTTATCTGGGTTATTTTGCTTTAAGAAACCCCATATTTGAAACTTTTATTATAAACATGTTAAGTAATTTTTATTTACAATCCAAAAAAATTTGCTAGTTTTACTGTAAATATCTATCTGTAACTTATATTTATAAAAAATATAGTTGCTCCAGTGTAGTTTATCAGAAAATAAGATTTAAATTATCCACTCTTAATAAACATATGCAGATTTATTTTGTAAGATACATCTTGAGTTGATGAAATATTAAATTGGAATCAATTTAATTCTTTCTTGTCCAGGTACTAAACGTCTTGTAGAAGGGGCTATTAATCCAGGAGAAAACTGTTTGATCATTGAAGATGTCGTTACCAGCGGATCCAGTGTTTTGGAAACTGTCGAGGTTCTTCAGAAGGAGGGCTTGAAGGTCACAGACGTCATAGTGCTGCTGGACAGAGAGCAAGGAGGCAAGGATAAGCTGCAGGCACATGGGCTTCGTCTCCACTCAGTGTGTACATTGTCCAAAGTGCTGGAGATTCTTGAGCAACAGAAAAAAATTGATGCTGAGATGGTTGAGAGAGTGAAGAAATTTATTCAGGAGAATGTTTTTGTGGCCGCTGATCATAATGGTTCTCTCCCATCTGTAAAGAAAGCACCCAAAGAACTCAGCTTCGGTGCACGTGCCCAGCTGCCCGGGATTCATCCAGTTGCATCAAAGCTTCTCAGGCTTATGCAGAAGAAGGAGACCAATCTGTGTCTGTCGGCTGACGTTTCAGAATCCAGAGAGCTGTTGCAGCTAGCAGATGCTTTAGGACCCAGCATCTGCATGCTCAAGACTCATGTAGATATTTTGAATGACTTTACTCTGGACGTGATGAAGGAGTTAACAAGTCTGGCAAAACACCATGAGTTTTTAATATTTGAAGACCGGAAATTTGCAGACATAGGAAACACAGTAAAAAAGCAGTATGAAGGTAAGTATTATTCAGGAATCTGCAAGACTCAGAAATCCAGTTTAAACTAGCTGAAGAAAAAAGGGAAATGTATTGGCTCACCTCACTGAAAGTCCATCTGTAGAACAGGCTGCCAAGCATGGTTGGATCCAGGAGCTCAAGGGATGTCTTTTGGACTTGCTTTCTCTTCTATCAGCTCTGCCTTCTTCCTTCTTTCTCAGGTAGGCACAGTCCTCATGCCTACTCCAATTCAGACACTGGGTATATTATAGAATGCCTTTAGGTATAGATTAGCTGAAGATACCACTAACACCTGGATAATATGCCCAACCTCTGGTAGGTAATGTGAGGTGGTTAACTCTATAAACTTCTTAAACCAAGATCTGGTAAAGGGTAGTTCCCCTAAATAATAAAAAAATTAAACGTGTGCCGGTGCCAGAAGACAGGAACGTAGGGTCTAGGGTCTAGGCAGGCAAACATGACAGAGGTTGGGCATGGCAAACTGAATTCTGTTATTTGAAGCATGAAAATTGCAGATATGGGAAACTGAAAAGGTAGTATAAAGTTGTAAAATTAATTTTTACCAGAAAACGTTTTGTTGATGATACACATTCTTTTAAAAATATTTTGTTAAACTCATATGTTGGTTGAAAAAATAGCTTAATTCTATACCTATCCTTCTATGCTAATTTCTGCCGTAGCGTACATATCTGTTTTTTCTTCACTTAACCTTAGATTTTATTTTATCATGTTATTAACATTTATAGACATCTTTTGAGGTTTTTTTGTTTGTTTTTTGTTTTTTTGTTTGTGGTTTTGTTTTTTTTAGGTGATGCATGCTTATACTGAAGCTATTTCTTTGGGATAGATTTGTCTTCAAACATGTTTTCTTTTTATGTGACTCAAATGTCCTCTTTAGTTTGTTGACTGATATAAGAGTTAAACAAACTTCCTACAGGTTTACATAGAATCTTTTTTTTTAAATATATTTTATTGATTTTTCATAGAGAGGAAGAGAGAGGGATAGAGAGTTAGAAACGTCGATGAGAGAGAATCATCAACCAGCTGCCTCTTGCACACCCCCTACTGGGGATGTGCCCGCAACCAAGGTACATGCCCTTGACCGGAATCGAACCAGGGACCTTTCAGTCCGCAGGCTGATGCTCTATCCACTGAGCCAAACCCGTGCCGGCTACATAGAATCTTTTAAAAATTGATTAGGGTTATTGATGTTAGGATTTTAAATGAAAATAATTTGAAGACCAAAAGAGATCTTAGGAACAAGTAGGAGATTTGAGAAATGGTAAAGTTGCTATGAGATCCATGCACAATGAAAATTTGTTGTCTTCTGAGGAATTTTCCAAATGTTAATATCTTTGACCTTCATAAACACCCATCTTCACTGGGCTTTGTTTCTAATTGCATAAGTTTTATTGGTCACAGCTTCAGCCAGCCAGGAAAAATAGTTTAGTGTTGCTTATAAACTAAATACAGAACTTGTAAGAATTTTCTCATTGTGATCTCTCAACTAGCTACTAGGTAGATATTATAAATGTTTCCCACTTAAAAGCATACATAAGTCTACTGAAACACTAAAATTCTTGAAGTGTTTCATTATTTCATTAACATGTTACTAGGACATTATTTCATACTCTACTTATTTGGCAAAAAGTTAAAGGTTTTTGTGTGAAATTTGACACATATCTTTTTGCCTCTTTCTTAGGTGGTGTCTTTAAAATAGCTTCCTGGGCAGATGTAGTAAATGCTCACGTGGTGCCAGGCTCGGGAGTTGTGAAAGGCCTGCAAGAAGTTGGCCTGCCTCTGCAGCGGGGGTGCCTGCTCATTGCTGAAATGAGCTCCGCTGGCTCCTTGGCCACTGGGGACTACACTAAAGCAGCGGTGAGTGCCCAAGGGACTGGGCTGTAAACCACATGTTCTAGACTCGAAAATACCTTCTTTTTGGGTTTATGAAACAGCTAAAAAAAAAAAAAAAAAAAAGCTGCTGTTAATGTGACAGTATATTAATACTAATTGGCTAGAATTCTCTGATAGTTAATAGCATTTTATATCTTGTGTTGAACACTTACGAGATTTGAATTGTACATCCAAGAGAGAAACATTGAAATAGATACTTGGTCAGATAAACATTTGCCAGGCTTACCTGACCTTTAAGATGGTGGTGTTGTTTTTTATCTCACCGTGAGTTGGAATTGAAGAGCTGCTTCCCAGATATGCAGTGCCTCAGAATCTCCCAAATCCACAGAGATGCGTTCTCAGGACAGCAGCCCACATGTTTTTTATTTGTTTGTTTGTTCATTCATTGATGTTGATTGGTATTATATGGTAAAGCTCTTAACTAGAGCCCAGACACATTGTTTCCTCCAGTAACTCCACGTTATTAAAAGTTTTTATAGCACTCCACTTAATACCCAGCACCCACCCTTACATTCCAATTAAAAAGTTTCATGGATGGATAGATCATCTTTAAAGATATTTTGTTACTTCAAATACTCTATGGAACTGAAGAATTCACATGCCCTAGGCCCAGGTTTTAACCCCACACCTGAACTGTCTGTCCATAAACAACTGTGATTTTCCAATTTTCATAACAGAGGGGTACATGGGTCATTTTGGGGATCTGGGTCTGGCTCAAGGACAAGACATCACTTTCTGGCAAGAACAGAACAGTGTGAGTCTCAGGGAAGAGCCAAATGAGGAAGTCAGACCTTCGTAGGGGTGTCGAACTCAATCAGAGAAGGGGCCAAAATCTAAAATCCAGCCTAAATCGCGGGCCGAATGGTTTACTGAACAGTCATAAACTGTCATTGTGATGGAAACGGAGCAGAGTGCAGTGATGACAGCGTGGTGCGGGCCACATTGCAAGGCCTGGCGGGACGGATTTGGCCCGCGGGCCTTGTGTTTGACACATGTGTTCTAGAGAAACTTCTATGAATATGGGGTAAGGTATAGAAATTGTGGAGACCGATTATTAGCAAATATTAAAGAAGAGGGAAAGCAGTAGAGATTTCTTTAACTCTTGACAACATAGTTAACCTTGACTATGGAGCACCCTGTGTAGATAGGCAGTAAGTCTTCAATGTAGTTTTATGCCGTTTAGAGATATAGTCTAGAGTGCCTTCTTCATATCCTTTTTGGAAGTAGGTGGATCCTCAAGCATTATTAAAAATAAGTAATTATGCAGCATCTAGATTCTAGACAGCCATAATTGGTATAGGATTTACTATAGTATAGTATGGACACTATGTTTTTAGGGTATGGTTAATTGGGAGAAGGGGAGAGAGAGGATTAATGGAGCAAAGATATAGATTCATAGCTAAGATTACCTGTTTTAGATATAATGATTTTAATATGAAATGAGAAAAGACATCTATAAAATAGCAGTTTCTTACTAGTTAATAGAGCCGATTTTTAACTTGTAGAATTATTCTGTGTGGTTAACTGCTTTCTTGTAATCTGTCCTATTACATTCCATTTAGGTTAGAATGGCTGAGGAACATTCTGAATTTGTGTTTGGTTTTATTTCTGGCTCCCGAGTAAGCATGAAACCAGAATTTCTTCACTTAACTCCAGGAGTTCAGTTGGAAGCAAGACGTAAGTCTGTTCATTCTTCCAAAATGCTTCTTTAGCCATGTCTTCAAAGGCTAGATGAAATTTTGTGTGTTGTTATAAAGTTGATAAAGAAAATGCTTATTTTATCTATAATAGAACAATGAATGAGCCCCTTGGCCTTGTGATACTGACCTAGGTGTGCGAAGTAGCTTGCAGTCTAATTTTAGGGTGAAAATTTAGAAAACTGCTTTTCATTAGAATGTATCAGATACACTGAGTGGCCAGATTATCATGATCTCTGAATGCATAACAATCTGGCCACTTGGGTGGGGGTGTGTGTATTAGAGCCTTGGTGCACAAAATTCGTGCAGAGGCAGGGGGTTTGTCCCTTAGCCCAGCCTGCTCCCTTTCCAATCTGGGACACCTTGAGAGATGTCAACCGCCCATTTAGGCCTGATCCCACCAGTTAGACATCCCTGTCACAATCCAGGACTGCTGGCTCCTATCGTCTCACCTGCCTCTGCCTGATTGCCCCTAACCACTCCCCTACCAGCCTAATCGATGCCTAACTGCTCCACAGTCGGCCCGATTGCCCCTAACTGCCCTCCCCTACCTGCCTGGTCACCCTTAATTGTCCTCCCCTGCCAATCTAGTTGCCCCTAACTGTCCTCCCCTGTCAGCCTGGTCCACACCCTCCCAACTACCCTCCCCTGCAGGCCTGGTTCTTCTTCCCCTCCCCCCAAACTATCCTCCCTGCAAGCCTGGTCCCCCCCAACTACCCTCCCCTGCAGGCCTGGTTCTTCTTCCCCTCCCCCCAAACTATCCTCCCTGCAAGCCTGGTCCCCCCAACTGTCCTCCCCTGCTGGCCTGATTGCCCACAGCTGCCCTCCCTACAGGCCTGGGTCTCTCCCCACCCCCCCAACTGCCCTCCCCTGCCAGCCATCTTGTGGCAGCCACATTGTGTCCACAGGGGGGTGGCCATATTTGACCACATGGTGTCAGCCATCTTGTGTGTTGGAATGATGGTCAATTTGCATATTACCTCTTTATAGGATAAAAAGACTTTCTACTGAATGGGAGAAAATATTTGTAAATTATGTATCTGATAAAATATTTTTTTAAATTGTACAACTCAATAGCAAACAAATTATCTTATTTTAAAAAATGAGCAAATCTTCTTTGGACATTTTTTCAAAGAGGACATATAGATGGCCAACAGATACATGAAAAGATGCTCAGCATCACTAATCATCAGGGAGGTTACAAATCAAAACCACAATGAGATATCACCTCACACCTGCTAGAATGACTTATCAAAAGGCAAGAAATAACCAGTGTTTGAGAGGATGTGGGGAAAAGGGAATCCTGTGTACTGTTGGTGGGAATATATATTACTGCAGCTACTATGGGAGTCAGTATAACGGGGTTCCTAAAAAATTTAAAATAGAACTTCCATATGATCTAGCAATTCCACTGGGAGTATTTATCCTAAGAAAACAAAAATCTAACTTAAAAAGAGATATGTAACCCCACGTTCATTGCAGTGTTGTTTACAATAGCCAAGATCTGGAAACAACCTATGTATCTATTGATGGATAAAGAAATTTTAATTATCCATATTATTCAAGCATATAAAAATGAAATCTTGCCATTTATAACATCATGGATGTACCTTTACAATATCATGCTAAGTGAAATACTAGTAAGTCAGACTAAGAATGAGAAATACCACATGAGTTCACTTATATGTGGAATTTAAATACAAACAAAAAATTAAATAAGCTCATTGATATGGAGAACAGATTGGTGGTTGCCAGAGGTAGGGGTTTAAGGATGGGAGACATGGGTTATGGGGCTCAAAGGTTATAAGTCATGAGGATGTATTTACAGCAAGGCAACTATAGTCAGTTTATTGTATTACATATTTAAAAGTTGCTAAATCTTGAAAGTTGTCTTCACAAAAGAAAATTTAGTAATTAATGCCAGGTGATGGATGTTACGTAGACTTATTGTGTTGGTCAGTTCTCAGGTATACAAATATTAAATCATTATGTTGTACACCGGAAACTAATGTTATATGTTAGTTGTACCTCAATAAAAAAAGATATAAAAAGAATGAAAAAAAACCAAAATTTAGAAACAGGCTTTATACATAGGGTGGGGCAAAGTAGGCTTAAAGTTGTATGTGAAACAGTTTATTCTTTTATTATTTATTATTGTATTGCATATGAACAACTGTAAAGCGACTTTTGCGCCCCTGTATAGTATGAGCACTTTGATGGGTTGTGACAGAAAGGTTCACATATGTGGTCGGGGTCCCGTTCATTGCCTTCTGAGGACTTTCCCAGTGGTGTGGCATGTGATTCTGAGGTGTATACTAAAATTGCCTTCAAATGTAAGGCCTAGCTTTATCTTATATATTTTTTAAATCAATCTTTATTGTTCATATTATTACAAAAGTTCCTCATTTCTTCCCCCCTCCAACAGGTTCCCACCCGGCCCTCCGCTCCCTCCCCACCCCCCATTGTCCTCATCCATAGGTGCACAGTTTATGTTCAGTCTCTTCCTGCATCCACCACTCCCCCTTTCCCCAAGAACTGTCAGTCCACTCCCCTCCAGTATCTCCGACTCTACTACAGTCAACAGCTAATATTGTTCATCAGGTTTTTTAATCTCCTTTTTCTGTTGTTGTTGTGTTTTTGTTTTTGTTTTAATTAATAAACTTTTATACTTCTAAGAATAAATTTTAAAATCTAATAATTTTAAACCTTATTTTTTCTGCCCTGGGAACTGAGAAGCAAACTTGTTTACATGTAAACTTACCCTTACGCTATCAAAAGGTGTAGCCATTCAAATGTAAATGAACACATTGTTTAAAGATAGCTGCTGGCTAGAATTGGATTACCTGTTCTGGGTGGGAAGGGCTTGTCCTCCCCTTTCTCCATTAAAATTAAGGTGTTAGCTTTAAAACCTCTTTTTGGGAAGAGACCTTAAACTTTCAGAACTTTAAATTTTTCAGATAGTAAATCAGTTACTTATCATTTTCTCAAATCAATAATACATCCACATGCCCAAGGATACACTTCACACAAAAGACACTTCCAAATAGATCAACCAACCTCATCCAGGTCCCACACAAGGCACTCACAGATCAACACCCCAGCACTATACTAACTCAACACATCCAGATCTAAGCCTTCATCACTTGATTCAGCAGACCCTCAAGTTCCTCCAAAAGTTTCCAGCCATGTCTGAGAGATGGGCCTGACCTCTGTTGCTCTGGTCTGCTCCACAACCAGCTGCTCCCTGCCTGGCTGCTGCTGCTCCCTGCCTGGCTGCTCCCAATCCGGCCGCTCTCGGCCTGGCTGCTCCAGGCTTGGCTGCTGTTGCCCTGGGCCTGGCTGCTCCCAACCCAGCTGCTCTGGGCCCAGCTGCTCCAGGTCTGGCTGCTCCAGGCCTGGCCACCCTGGGCTTGGCCCCCTCTGCCCCAGGCCTGGCTGCCACTGCCTTGGGCCTGGCCCCACCTATCCAACATTCTGTCCTTTTTTTTTTTTTTTTTTTTTTTTTTTCTTTTAATGCATTTATGTTGCAATGTTGGCTGCTGAGTTGAGTTCTGTCTTCAATTTTTCAAGATCTTCTTTGTATTCTTTCTTAAGTAATTTTACTATCTTTTGCTATAACTTGATTTCTTCACATTGAAAACTTCTTTGGTTTCTTCCTCCTCATCCTGGAAGGTCAGTAGGCTGGCCTGTAGCACCCCTTTGTTCTCCGCGGCCTCCTTCGAGGCTTCAGCCTGTTGCCAGGGTCGGCGCCGCCCAGGAAGCAGCCCCAGGCCTCGGCTCCGTGGCCCGCGATCAGTGGTTGAGGGCCCAGCGGCCCTTCCCCCCAGGGGCCCTGTTGCCCGGCTCCTTGCCGGCGCCCAGCTTGCTGGTGTCCAGCCGCAGCTCCTGCTTCTCATCACGTTCTTCCCAGTCTGGAGCTTTTTTCTCTTTCCCGCTAGGGCAGTCTAGCATCAGAGTCAACAGACTGTCTTCTGCACACAATGTGCACTACTGCGGGGGCTCCGCTTTTCGCTGCTCCCCTGGGATTCCACCTCACAGCCCCGTCTCCCTCTGTTTGAGCCTGGGTCCCCAGGGACTGGCCTAGAACTAGGGTTCAGAGCAGTCGGAACTGGGCTCAGCACAGCCGAAGCTTTTGTTTCCTTCCCGCTAGGGCAATCCAGCATCAGAGTCAACATTCCGTCCTCTACGTGCAACGTGCGCGACTCTGGGGGCTCTGCTTTTCGCCGCTCCCCTGGGATTCTGCCTCACAGCCCCGTCTCCCTCTGAGCCTGGGTCCCCAGGGTCTGGCCTAGAACTGGTGCTCAGAGCTGCCGGTTCTGGGCTTCAGCCCAGTCCGGGGCTTTTATTTCCTTCCTGCTAGGGAACACCAGGCAGGCACTCAGCCTTCCCCTCCTCTCCAGCTCCGTCCTCTCTCTGCGCGCGCAGCATGTCTCCATACCTTGGGCTTTTACAGCTCCTCTGATTTTCCTTCTGGTTTTCTCTTTCCTCCTTGTTGTAGAATTTTCAGTCAGTCGTCTACCTGTAGCTCTGGGCAATGTCCATTTTATATTTTAGTTGTATTCCATTGAAATTGTTGTGTGCGGCTGCGGTTAGGTGTTTACCCATCAGCTTTATCTTATTTTATTATTTTTTTTGTATTGAAGTTTTCTTGGCATTGGTAGATTTACTTTTTTTTTTTTTTTTTTTAATGCTGTTAAACTGTAAATGCTCTACAATTAGACACTGAAAGGAATGGGTTGGCTGCTTCACTGTGGATATCTCTACCTGTCCGGGTCTGTCTCTTCACCTGCATTTACTCACTTTGCTGTCCAGAAGGAGCATGGAAAGCAAGAGCATGGTGTTAATTAAATAAAGCTGGTTAGATACTTTCCTCCAAAAGGTCTCATGACGGGTTTTCTGATGTTCTGTATTGTGTTGATAGTAACTTTTGTGTTTCTGCAGGTGATAATCTCGGCCAACAGTACAATAGCCCACAAGAAGTTATTGGCAAACGAGGTTCTGATATCATCATTGTAGGCCGGGGCATAATAGCATCAGCCAATCGTCTGGAAGCAGCAGAGATGTACAGAAAAGCTGCCTGGGAAGCCTATTTGAGTAGACTTGGCATCTGAGTCTCAGATACTTTTTGTGAAGGCCTTGAAGACCCACTGTCTCCTGAGATGCATTGGCTGGATAACAAGCAGCCTTTTATACCGCCTCGATTCCTCTGTGGGTCTTGTGTTGGAGTGACTCCTAGAGTTATCATACTTAGGATATCCTGAACAGCTGTAACCACTGCATTAGTTTTCAAGCATTCTTTAGTGGGACTGATTTTGGCAAAGCAGTCACAGTCCTGTTTGTGGTCAAGTCTTCCACATTTGAGGATTCCTTCAACCCCCATCTCTAGTCAGGCTTTTTGATTCTTTTCATTGCTGTGGCACAAAAACTTTAGGACATTAAGAGTACAGCATTTAGGACATCGAAGTACATACAACATGTCTTGTGTCCTTTATTCTGTGTCTAATGTGATGCCCAAACAATATTAAAATATTAGTTCTTCTCTTAAAAGTGATAGTCCAGGTTCCAAATGGTGCTGGTTCTCAGAACTGCTGTTATTCACTCACCAAAGGGAGCAAGATGGGGAAGTGGAAAGCTGACCACAGCCTGGCCCCGGGACCAATACCTGGCTTTCATTTCAGCAAATGGATTCTGACTCTCTTCTCCGGCAGCAGTGTGGTGCGGACCTGGGCTGAAATCCAGGCACAGCTTCCTTTTGCCTTACTTGGATTACCAATGGACAAGCTGCTCCTTCATTTATGTAAAAAGACAGCAGCATCAGGAGGTCTAAGGTTCCATTTGGCGGTTTGCTTCAGGATCCTACATAATTGTCCCAACTGTGGTTGACAGAGAGGGAGGTCAGACTTCACTAGAAATAAGGGGGGGAAAATCTCAGCAACAGCTTATATTGTCCACGTCTCGTTTCTACCACCTTTGCTCACAAGCCCCACCATCACACACAGGGCATAAACAGTTAGGCAATCACGTCCCAAACACACTCCAGTCAACTTCGATTCTCAAACGTCTCACGTTTCAAACAGTTTGCCTCTCAACCTGACAACCCTCTCATGCTGATACATGTATGATCAGTCACGTTTCTCTCAAGAGACGGGAGACGATGCTCAAGTAAGAGCTTACTGCTGTTAACATCTCAGGATATTGTGCTGTGAATATTCTGTGTGTTTGCTTTTGTTGCTGCTTATTAAAATTTAATTTTTTATTGTATAATTTCCTTTTTGTTCAGTTTTCATTTACATTTCATGTCTTTTTTGTTTTTACAGGTTAAGCAGTACATTAGACATGCATTGTATATAAAAAAAAAGTTAAAATGGAATCACTTGGCGGTCTGGAATGAATTAAATTTATATTATTTCTAAATAGTGGCCTTGTGCACATAAAAGGGAATGAGAGGAAATATTTTAATATTGCTATTTGCCCTTTCTCTATAATATTAGGTCTAGTAATAATTAATGTCGTTTTCTAATACTTTTTTAAATCGAATTTATTTAAACAATACAACAAAATTTAATCAACAATATAGTTGCCGTTGTTTTCTACTTCTTGTGCCCAACTCTCAGGAAGCATTTTAATCCCTCTGTTGTAAAATTCTTGTGATTTTGATGCAAAAAAATCGGTCAATGCATTTTTGAGGCATTCTTCATTATTAAATTTTTTTCCAAAGAAGAAAGTTTTGCAAAGAACGAAACAAATGGTAATCGGAAGGGGCAATATCAGGAGAATATGCAGGTTGAGGGAGAACTTCCCATTCCAACTGGCGCAGTTTTTCAGCAGTGATTCTTGCAGTATGCGGTCGTGCGTTATCATGGTGAAGAATTACGCCCTTCCGATTAATCAGCGCGGGTTCTTTTTCTCTTAAAGCTTGGGCTAACCTTTCCAATTGGGCACTATACACTGCACTTGTAATGGTTTGGTTAGATGGTAAAAGTTCATAATGAAGAATTCCTTTAAAATTCCTCCAAACACACAACATCACTTTTTTCACATGCAAGTCAGGTTTTGGCGTGGGCTGCGGAGCCTCATTTTTGTCCAACCATTGAGGCCACCTTTTCAAATTAACATACAGCACCCATTTTTCCTCTCCGGTAACAATTTGCTCTAAAAACGGCAAACGGTTTTGACGAGAGAGGAGCGAACTGCAAATTGTGACTTTGATTACGGTTGTTGTCAGTCCACTCATGAGGAACCCATTTTCCAAACTTTTGGACTTTGCCAAGTGCACGCAATTGATTGGAAATTGTTTTTTGTGAACAATTTAAAGTTGTCGCAAGCTCTTGTTGGGTAATTTGAGGATTTTGCATCAAAAGAGCCTGAAGAGCTTCTTGATCAAAATTGGACACACGGCCTCGACCACTCTTGTCATCTAACGAAAAATTTCCCTCGCGAAATTTCTCAAACCAACGCTGGCATTTTCTGGCGCTAACTGCATCTTGACCAAGAGCACTACAGATGTTTTTTGCAGCCTCACTTGCTTTTCTTCTTAATTGGAACTCGTAAAGCATGCAGTGCCGAATATGCTCTTCATCTGCCATCTTCTTAGCCCTAGTTTTGCAACAAAAACCAAGCCAAACACAAACTTTTTCAAGCAAAACTTGATAATTGCACTTCACACGTTCTGTAGATACCACGTGTTTGAAGGTTATGTCAATACAAGTCAATGCCAAGCAAGATTTTAAACGAATGTTTAAAAACGACATTAATTATTACTAGACCCGATAGAAGTGTCCGGCTCCACCCCCACTGGGCAACACCAAGACCCGGCCGGCCCCACCCCATCAAGACCCACCAGGCAGGAGACGCAGCCTCACGTCCCAGTGCTGGGGCAGGGGGCACAGCCTCAGGGCCCCCCGCCCTGGCCCATGCCACATAGCCTCACCCAGACCCAACGCCATCAATGCACCTTCTGGTGACCGGTCATCTGGTTGTTACGGATGAAAATAAAGTCATGGACTTAAGCATGCACATTCATTTTCAATGCTTGATTTGTCTACATTCTCTAAATTACAAAATAAATAACATCTCCAGCCAGATAGCATCATAATGCCAAGTTCTTTATATGACACCATGCTCTCCACTACGTATGCTCCATTTGAATGGATTAAATGTATGCAACTCATATGTAAGGCACTGCTGCTTGCTCTTAGCCTGTTAACCGGGGAGTTCCCTTTTTAATGACGGAACCTGTAACGGGCGCATACTCTTTCACTAGGATGTGTCAGTACGTCACGCCCGGAGGACGTAATTTCATATTTTTTTTTATTTACTGTATACTTAATGAAAATAAATGAAATATATATATATATATATTCATTTATTTATATATATAAAGCACAAAGGAAAATACAAAATTACAAAAAAAATAGAAAAGAATACCGACAAAAAAAAATGGACACGTCAAATTAAAAAATTATAAATTTCACAAACAATGATAAAGATTACAAAAAATAGCCGAATTCGATTCCAGTCAAGGGCATGTACCTTGGTTGCTGGCACATCCCCAGTGGGGGGTGTGCAAGAGGCAGCTGATCGGTGTTTCTCATCTCATCAATATTTCTAACCCCTTTCCTTCCTCTCTGTAAAAAATCAATAATTTTTTTTTTTTTAAAGATTACAAAAAATATATACCGTCCCTCTCGGGGTGCAACATATATTTCAAAGACGTATTCATATGTCCTACCCGTTCCCGATATTGTTTACGTTTGACGTATTTATAGGTCCCGCTCGGTTAACAGGTTAATAGAGGAAGCTTTGACTCGCCTAATGCCATAGAGTGGTTTAAATGGCATATACTGACTCGAAGAACAGAAGGAAAAATAACCGAAAACAAAAAACAAAAAAAAGTTCAATGCTGTGAACAGCAGAATCCTCTCCCTTTCCCTTTGTTTTTTCTGCTTTTCCCATGCACCTATTTGCGCTCTGCCTCAAAATCAACACAGAAAACAATCAGATGCTGTAATCTGCGTTTTAGAGTGCCATTTGAGTACAAAGGTACTTTTCAATCATTACTTTTTTTTTTTTTTTTTTTAATCAATGCAGCTCAAACTTGCTCCCAACGTTCCAGTAGCCAGGCCAGCGTGGCTGTGTGGACACACCTTTGCTAGGTGCTGTCAGGCGTCAGGGCTGGGGCAGGGAACACACTAGGTGTTGCTGGAAACGAATCAGCCCTCCTCTCTACATGGCAGGAGTCCTTTCACTATAAAACGCAAATCCGCAGCCCTCCTCTCTGGGGGCGGTAGGGAGGGACCGAGGGGACATTTACTCTTGGCTCTGATTTCTCTTATTTAACGGAGCCTAGTGACAGCTGCTTCTCTGAGCACAACACCAGCTGGCTCAGGGCTAGCCGCACCTGGAAGGCAAGCGGCAGAGCTGACCAGGGGCTTAGCCCGAGCTGGGCTTGGGACATCTGGAAGCTGAAGGAACAGGTTTAGGAAACCAGGGTGTGTGGTGGTCCCCGGCACGCTGTGTGGCACCGCAGCGCTTGGCTTCCCTCCACTCCTGCAGCTGGGCAGAGTCGAGGCTGGGAGTTGTTGAAACTCCGTTCACCTGTCAGAACCCAGATTTGGGCAGGGAACAGGGCCTGGCGGCCAGAGCACACAGGTCACAGCAACCTCAGCAGGCAGCTTTCCCACACCCAGACTCCACAGCCAGGGGGGGGCAGGTGTGGGAGCTGCTCCTGAAGACTAGCCACCGCCCCCCAGCTCAGCACCCCAGCTCCCTGTTCTCCCCCTTTCACCCACAGGCGCCACCCGCGTGGTGTGCCCAAAGGCAGATGCTAGGGTTGCAGGTTCAGGATGCTCCACCTCCTCCTGGCACTTTGAGCCATAAGCACTGGCAGGGACCTTTCCCACTCAGCCACTCAGTCTTGGTCTTTGGTCACTGCTGAGGTTTTCGGGACTCTCTAGGCCAGAGACAGCCAGGACCTTTGCCTCTGACCAACACCACACCTGCACCCTGCCTGGGGTACCCCCAACCCCGGGAAAGCTTGGGGATGTGGCCGGCCGGGGCAAGGGGCCATGGAGTGGGGTAGGAAGGTTGGCTAACTGTCCCACCCTCAATTGGGGTGGGAGAGGCTGATCAGGAGTGGGCCGGAGGAGGAGCTGGGTTCGCTGGCGCCTTGCATTCAGCCCCACCCATGCCTCAGGCAGGCAGCCTTGGCACCGCCCACAACCGTGCCTCGGGGCTACGGGTCTGCACCCCTCCGCCGGGGCGGGCGTCCTTCCACCCCAGCAGTCATCGCCCCTTGTTCCCCGCTGGGCCAACCCGCATCTTGGGGCCACTATGGAACCTCGCTCTTTGTAGGCAATGCAGATCCCCATCCACTGGCCCCCTGCCCCGGCCCGAGCCCGCTCCGGTACACTCTGCCTCAGTGCTGCTCAGCACTTGCCCAGGAGCCGCCCCTCAGGTGGAGGCCTATACACAGGCCGCAGCCCCGCCCACGCACACCTGTTGCATATACAGCCTGCTGATCAGTTGTTACTGTGACAGCATCCTGACCAATTTGTATATTACCCTATTATTGTATTAGTATAGATGGAGAAAATGCTTTGGCTTTTGAATAGCCTTCTGGAACAAATTAAGTTTAAAATCTGAGGTTCCACTGTATTTCCCAGAAACTTTTCTGAGTTTCTGGATGATCCCTGTTCTCCAATAGATAGATATTCTCCATGTGTGTATTTCTGTGGTCTATTGGGGAAGCATCGTGGAGGAAGGAGAGTAAAGGGTGTGAGATCAGATGACCATTTGGAAATGGCCCCACTCTGCATTCAGAGCCCTGACTGAGCGGGGCCAGCACGGCAGCTGCATTAGGAGGCTCAGTTACGATTCTGCCAGCACCCCCACCATCTGCCTTCAGCGGGTGTCTGA